TCAAGGTAGCAAACGAATCGAAAAATAACCCCAAAGCTTTTTATCAACTGTATAAATCAAAGGTTAGAGATACAATAGGTCCCCTTAAAACTACGACAGGAGAAATGACTGATGATGAGTTAGAAATGTGTAGTACGTTAAATAGTCATTTTCGCTCCTATTCACAAATGAAAACCTAGCACAGTTTCCAGAAGTTCATAAGGTATATAACGACAGTATAGAAAATATGTTGATGAATATCAATATTACTAGTAACGATGTGCTTAAAGTAATTAACAAACTGAAGCCTCATAAATCGCCTGGTCCAGACGAGGTATATGCTAGAATATTAAAAGAATGTAGAGATGAGTTGAGTAATCCATTAGCAGTTTTATTTAATAAGTCATTAGAATCGGGCCTAGTGCCAGAAGCTTGGAAACTTGCAAATGTAGTTCCGATTTTCAAAAAGGGTGATAAATCAATAGCATAAAATTACCGTCCCATTAGTCTCACGTCAATCATAGGCAAGTTGCTAGAGTCAATTATTGCTACAAAAATCAGAAGCCACCTTGAAACATTCAACTTAATTCATTCTTCTCAGCACGGGTTCACCCAGGGACGTTCTTGTCTCACAAATTTGCGTAGCTTTTTCTCAGAAGTATATGAAGCGGTAGATAATGATAAGTCATATGATATAATTTATTTAGATTTCAGTAAAGCATTCGATAGAGTCCCTCATGAGAGATTGATAAGGAAGGTAGAAGCACATGGAATAGGTGGATCAGTATTAAAATGGATTAGGTCATGGTTAACTGGTAGGAAACAAAGAGTCAGCATAAATGGATTAAAGTCAGACTGGGGTGCGGTCAAAAGCAGAGTTCCCCAGGGATCTGTATTAGGCCCTCTGCTGTTTGTTATATTCATTAATGATCTTGATTTAGGTATAACTAGTAGGATTAGTAAATTTGCAGATGATACCAAAATGGGGAGAGTGATAAATTCAGACAGTGACTTTGAACACCTTCAAAGAGATCTAGATACCTTACATGAGTGGTCAGTAGACTGGCAAATGAATTTTAATACTGATAAATGCAAGGTACTACAGATAGGAAGACGAATACAAACGTTAAGTATAAACTAGGTAACACGGAAATAGAAAACTCAGTTTGTGAAAAAGATCTGTATTTGTTAGCAACGACTTGAAACCTAGAAAAACAATGTATTAGCGTTCGCAACAAGGCAAACAGGATTCTTGGGTTCATATCTAGGTCTGTGAACAACGACTGCTGACTTATCTTGGCACTAGTGAGGCACACATGGATTATGCGGTTCAGTTCTGGTGTCTTTATTATAGAATGGACATAGATTCTTTGGAGAGAGTACAAAAGAAGAATGACAAAAATGATCCATAATATTGAAACCTTCCATATGAAGAAAGACTGAAAAGCTTAGGCTTACAGTAGGATTGGGGGAGATATGATAGAGGTGTACAAGTGGGGATTAACAAGGGTAAAATGGAAGATGTGAAGCTCAGTAATAACGAAATAATTCAAATGGCTTTAAATTAGATAAATTCCATTCCAGAAAGGATATAGGCAAGCACTGGTTTGTAATAGAGTTGTGGATATGTGGAATAGGCTACCGAGTGCTATAGTAGGATCGGGGACGCTAAGGGCTTCAAGACGAAGTTGGATAGGCACATGGAAGTGCTGGGATGGGTGTGAAAGGGATCTGCCCTGTATGGGCCAGTCGGCCTCCTGCAGTATCCCACTTTCTTATGTTCTTATGTTCTTATGTAGATAGTTCATTATACCTATTTCTGAGCTGCTCCTCTCCTCCCTTTAATTTCTTATATATTCCTTTCTTTATTCCTATATCATGTTTAAGTTTTCTGGTCATCCACCTTGGCTCATTCTTATTTGACCTAGTTTTTCTGTATGGTATATTTTGTTCTTGTGCTTTATGTAGTATACTAGTGAATATATTGTAGCCATGATCAATTGTTGTGTCATCTAAGACCTCACCCCTTCCTACTGGTGACTAACGTGACTGTTCCCAGGTGACCTCACCCAAGTACCTTCTTAACCCCTGATAATCCGTCAACCGAAAGTTTGGGACTCTGACCATATTGTCATTGATTTTCGTTTCCCAATTTAGGGTGAACCTGATTTCTCTGTGATCACTGTTACCTAGTTCTTCCCCTACTGTGATATCTCTGATAATATTTTCTATATTTGTTAATACTAGGTCTAATACATTGTCACCTCTAGTAGGTTCTGTAATTAGTTGTTCCAAAAATTGTCCTGTACTGCGTCTAGGAGGTCTTCAGATTCATAGTCACCTACAATGTTGTCCCAGTCAATATTTCTGAAGTTGAAATCCCCCATAATGCACAGGTTGTTATATTTTGCTACCCTACTCATTTCCTGCCATATGGGCTGAGCTGCTTCTTTCTAACGAGGTTATGGGCTCGGGGGTGCGGCTGTGTGGTTCTTTGTTGAGTCGGACAAGCTGTGTTAAGCCAAAGCACATATTTCTACTCCTACTACTCATTTATTTATTTCCATCCACCTGTTTTCCTTCCACTAAACCATTTTCACCCTTGTCACGTGGCATTTATGTATGCACGTCTACGAGTAGCTCCAGCGGCGGTCAGTAACAAGATCGGTCTGATCTGAACATGCTGACCGTGTGTAAACATCGGGAGGTTGTTGTGTTTCTTTCGTTTCAGTCAGTCGACGTCCCACCTCCATCAGGGTCAGACCGTCCCAAAGCTCCCTACCCACCTGACTCTCCCTCATTCTCTCACTGGGAGTTGGGACTCGACACTTAAAGATTTTGTAAACGTTGTGAGAATAGACATTTAGCGAAACACCGCGAGGAGAATACTGGCAACGAGTGCACGAACATCACATTCCTGGATTCTCTGGAAAATGTTGGTTTGAATTTTTTCTTTTGTGATCATAGTAAATAGTACAGGGCAGTTAAGTAATCTTATGAAAAATACAAACACGTAGTGTATTTAGTGGTACAGGTACGTATTTTTGTTTAGAAATATAGGTAAGTAATCATTATGAGAAGTGATCGCTGCATATTTTGTGAGATATGGAAATACCAACTTGGAAATAACAGCCCACGTGGTACAAACGCAGGATCACTTGAAGAATCCCCACCCTGGCTTACTTCACCCTAACTCCCCCAGATAATGTTAGGGTGGTTAATCTTTAGGTGAAATAAGCTTGGGGGTGGAGAGTCTTCAAGTGATCCCAAACATAACATTGTTGTGGGGATATTGTATAGATTACATAGTTTGAGAGATCGTACAATTACCATACAAGTTAACATTGATTCAGCACGTGGGGGCATGAAGGCGGATATTTAGAGAGAGGAAAGGGAAGTAGAAAGACATGGAGGAGAGGGAGGGAACAGAACATAAGAATGGAGGAAACTGCAGCGGGCCTATTGACCCATACTGGGCAGTCCCGTTTATACCCAACCCCTATTGCTCATATAAGCATCCAACCTATGTTTGAAGCTATCCAGCGTATTCGAGTCAACGATGATGTTTGGTAACTTGTTCCTTTCATCCACTACTCTGTTTCCAAACCAGTGTTTACCTATTTCACGCCGAAAAGAAAGGATATGAAGGAATTCAAGGAAACGAGGGATTAGGTACAAATTGGTGGAGGATACGGAAGACTTGGGGACGAGAGGAGGAGAAGGAGGAGGTGCGATAACTGTGAACTGAGAAGAGGTTAGGGCTAGGCGGGAAACATGGAGAGAGAGGGTGTAGGGGGGAGGAGCAGCCCGCAGTCAGGGCAGACGAGTGATGGTGGCGGTGGTGTGCCAGTAAGGGAATAAATGCCATATACTGTTATTTAAATCTATAAAATGAAAATAAGTACTTTAGTCTGGACGCATAGTTATAGTATGGCACAGCAGAGGGAGGGGCAGTAAAAGTAGTGGAGGGTGTCCATGATCCCTGTCAGAGAATAATGGTTGAGTGTGTGGTGTCTCGACGCTGGTAGGACTAGGATGGTGTAGGCCAGTAGGGGATTTATCAGGAGAGGCAATAGACGAGAGGAGCCGAGGGGGAGGGGGGGGGCAGCTGGTTGTTGTGAGGAGGGAGAGGGAAGGCAGGAGTTTTAGTTTAACAAATTTATTGACAAAGCTAAACACTGGGGGCGATATCACTTCTCACTACCATGCAGGACAGAGGTTCATACACAAAGAAATACATCATGTTCATTAACAGTATACTGTATATAGGTCAGATTGATGTGGGTGTGACTGAGCCCTAGGCCTTAACTAGGTTGGATGCCACCTGGCAAGAAGTTACTATTTGTTCCCTCACACTTGTACTTGAGTGAATTCACACATGATCCAATTATTCCTCCCACCTTCCTTAGTTACATAAGTATGAGAGGGCGCACTGCTTACGCCTTACTGGGTTGGGCAATGTAGTGTGACTTGACACTCTCGTTATCATGACCAACAACATAGCACATTTTTGTTTAATTTACCATTTTTTTTATCTGACTAACATCATGGACATTTTGAGGCCGTGTGCACTTCATATTAGGGGATATTCTGAGGTCAATAGGTAATTACTTTTCACTATACAAAAACGCCCTGGTACAATATTGCATTAAAGAAAAAGTATTGGAATTTTCTGACGAAAAGAACATAAGAATGGAGAAAACTGCAGCGGGCCTATATTGACCCATACTGGGCAGTCCCGTTTACACCCAACCCCTATTGCTCATATAAGCATCCAACCTATGTTTGAAGCTATTCAGCGTATTCGAGCATAGGTGGGGTCAGGACCCCACCTATGCTCGTGGATCCTCCCCTGGATCCACGTTTGTTTACGGTTAGCAGGATAATACCAAAGACCATCGAAAGAAAGCCAGGAAAAGTCCGAAATGTGTGGAAAAGGCGAACTGATTACCCTCAAGTTTCTTCGTCCGCTTCACGAGGGAGGGCGCTAGTGTGGAAGTGCGCCGTTTACATCTGTGAATCAGCCGATTGCTACCAGAATGACGTTAGTTGAAGACAATAATGGTTGGTGGAGGGCACCCCTGCGTTATATGCAGAAGGAAAGATACTCATCCGGAATTTATAGATCACCTCTTTCCAAAAGACACACAAATGTAAGTTTGATGCAGAGTATTAGGTTTTATATCTAGAAGTGTAAGTAAGAAGAGTGCAGAGTTCTTATTGCAACTATATCTTGCTATCTTGCGTTAGCTAATCAGACCGCACCTCGATTATGCTGTTCAATTCTGGTGCCCCTATTATAGAATGGATATCAATTCACTGGAGTCGGTGCAGCGAAGAATGGCGAAAATGATTCCGGGACTTAGAAACCTTCCATATCAATATAGATTAAAGAAACTAAAATTGCATTCCCTAGAAAGACGAAGAGTGCGGGGAGATATGATAGAAGTATTTAAGTGGGTGAAAGGAATCAATAAAGGAGTTACTGTATTGATAAAGTTCTTATAATATCCGAGCAGGATAGGACTCGTAGCAACGGATTTAAGTTGGATAAGTTTAGGTTTAGGAGGGAGATAGGAAGGAACTGGTTCACAAATAGGGTGGTGGACGAGTGGAACAAGCTTAGCAACTTTGTAAGTGCTGGAAAGTTTCAAAAGGAGGCTGGATAGATTCATGGATGATAGAGTGGTAGTAACTCGACAGGAGCTGCCATGCACAGGCCAACCGGCCTATTGCAGACTCCTTATTTTCTTATGTTCTAAAACGTCAGTCAGCCATCAGCTTCACAAATATTTTCAAGGTTGCAGAGTACTGTATGTGGGTCACTAAAGGATAGTTTAGTTTAACAAATTTATTGACAAAGCTTGTAGTACAGTTTGCCTATTCTGAGTAATTCAGTCAGGTCTTGACACTGAGGGTGGTATCACTTCTCACTGCCACGCAGGACAGAGGTTCATACACAAAGAAATACATCATATTCATTAACAGCTATAAATGTATAGAGGTCATATTCGTATGGGTAATGTCACTGTTCACTGCCATGCAGGACAGAGGTTCGTACACAAAGAGATGCATCATATTCATTGACAGTACATATACTGTACATATATGTACACACACGCATACACATACATATATACATACACATGTACATATATATACACATATGCACACATACATACATACATACATACATACATACATACATACATATACGTCGGTTAGATTCTTGTGGGTAATGTCACTCTTGACTGTCATACAGGACAGAGGTTCGTACTAAAGGATACATGGTGCACAACACCGCCACTGAAAACTACTGTATAAACATGTTGTAGTCAACCTAAACAAAATTAAATAAATCTTAGGTTACGTAGATATTATGCAGTCTATTAAATGGTTTTCTTCTAACTTTATTAATATACATGGAATAAAAAATAACATATTTTTGAGGTGTTAACTCTGAAAGTCGGATTCGGATTACTCGGATTTCGAACCTCCGGACAACTTGGTTGGGTCGGGTACCGGAGCGGGTTGTGTGTTATCCTTCACTCTCCCGCTGGTGTACCGAGGCATTTGAATTGTCTTGTTATATGATAAAAACTACAAATGGTAATTATAATGTGAAAATTGATATATTGTAAGACAGTGAAGAATAGTGGTGGTGGTGTTTAGTGTCTATATCGCATTTATCTAGAAACTGATTACTGTTACTCCAGTTTATCAGCATGGAAGGCACTAGTGGTGATGGCTCAGCATTTACACAGACTATAACTGCTCTTTACCAGTCTGAACTATATGATGTATTAAATTTAAGACGAAGTGTTGAGAGACCTAGATGTCAGACAGTGGAAATATGAGAAAAGATACTCTAATTAACGTAGAAAATTTACTGTATGGGGTAATGCCATAATCACCTTTGGCACCTTGGTTTCGTGTTTATAATGAAAGTCATTAGTGAAATCTCTTCTGAATTGGAAATTCGAACTGAAAATATTAGATTTTAAGGGGCAATATGGTAGATCAGTTTTGATTCTGTGGTAATGTATGAGAACACCGCTAACACCTGAAGGTGTTGTTTGATTTTGTTCTTTTTTTTCACAGATGTTCTTATCATTATAGTAAGTACTTTGAAAGAGGCGACATTTACTAGAATCTAAGAGAACCTGACCTAACCAACCAAAGAAGCCTACCTAACTTCTTAGCAGGAGGGGGTCCTGCCATATAAAACAAAGTACTGTACTTATTTTGCGGTCCGACTAATTACCCAAATGTACCCAAATATAGCCGGAATGAAGTCAAATAATGGTCCTACATGAATAAATCGGACTGCTAATCACTTCTCGACTAGTATTTGGTGTCAGAAAGTCACAAAAAATTGGAAAACTTGCTTTAATCTGAGTTAATAGATTGCGTGCATGTACCGACAGAGCGAGGAATTACCCAAATGTAGCTGCATTGAATTCAAATGATGGTCGTACAAGTGTAATTCGGGCTGTGAATCACTTCTCGATTATTATTTGGTGTCATAAAGTAAAAAAAAATTGGTAAACTTAATTTAATCTGAGTTGTGTTGGGTTAGGTTAGATTAGATTAGGTTAGGTTAGGTACATGCACTTGATCTATTAACTCAGATTAAATTAAGTTTACCAACTTTTTGTGACTTCGTGACACCAAATACTAGTCGAGAAGTGATTGGCAGTCCGATTTATTCATCTAAGACCATTATTTGACTTCATTCCGGCTATATTTGGCTACATTTGGGTAATTAGTCGGACCCCTTATTTTGGGTACATTTTTACTTTAGGACCTGAGTCCCAAGGGGTTGACCAATATGTTTTTCCAGTGTATTTTGATGTGTTTTAAGCGAATCTGGCCTTTATTTTTGACGGAAATAGCTCGTTTTTGGCCTCCCCCCCCCCCCAAAAAAAAACTAATGGGGGAAAGCCTGGTAAATCAGGGTTTTTGGGTGAGGGAGAAAACGAGTTCATACAAAGGAGTGTTAGTTACAAGACTAGCGAGGTCATCCTAAAACTGTATCTTGCTCTTGTGAGACCACACCTGGATTACGCAGTTCAGTTCTGGTCACCGTATTACAGAATGGATATAGAATCCTTGGAAAGAATTCAGAGGAGAATGACAAGACTAATCCCGGGCATTAGGAACCTTGAGTATAGAGACAGGTTAAAGCATCTTAATTTGCACTCCCTTGAGAGACGTAGAGCGAGGGGCGACGTGATAGAGGTGTATAAGTGGAAGGCAGGGCTAAACAAAGGAGACATTACAAAGGTACTCAAATTATCCAACCAGGAGCGAACTCGTAACAATGGTTTTAAGTTAGACAAATTTAGATTTAGGCGTGACATAGGTAAACACTGGTTTGGAAACAGAGTAGTGGATGAAAGGAACAAGTTACCAAATATCATCATTAACTCGAATACGCTGAATTGCTTCAAACATAGGTTGGATGCTTATATGAGCAATAGGGGTTGGGTGTAAACGGGACTGCCCAGTATGGGCCAATAGGCCCGCTGCAGTTTCCTCCTTTCTTATGTTCTTATGTTCTTATGAGTCATCTAGGTAAATGTGCAGACAATGGCTACAACCAGAAGGAGTTTGTTGAATTGGTTGAAATTTTTTCTACACACTGTATCATGATATTAAACATAAAATGGAAATGACAATCCATAGAACCTGACCTAACATAGCCATAGATTGAGTATGTTAGGTCAGGTTTTATTAAGTTCTATGCATTATTAAACACAAAATACTCACTAATATCATGATATTAAATACAAAAATGGAAATGACAATGCAGAGAACCTAATATAACATGACCTAACATACCCCATAGAACCTAACCTTATACACCCAGGGTTTGTTGGGTGAGGTTCTATTAGGTTCTATGCAAAATTTTTAAAAGCATTTTTTTTAATATGCGAATAACATGATATTAAACGGTGCTGCTTGACTCTTGAAAGGTAAGAAAATGATTTGTGGCATCACAAATGCACCTAGAGACTTAATTTCAATGCCATAACATCAGTGTTCGCCCTTGTTTTTACACCTTAATTTCCCTCATGCCCAGCCCATTAACAAGGAATTTATGATCGTAGGATCGAGTAAATGAAAAAAAATACTTGAAAACACAATAGAAGGTTGTTGTTTCTTTTAATATACATCAAATCATCAAACCAATAAGTATAGGAAAAATAAAGAAAATCAACAAACTCCTTCTGGTGGTAGCCATTGTCTACACCTTTACCGTCATCTAACCTAACCCCTAGGCCTAGCTTAAACTAACCTAAATGTTTCAGTACCTTAAAACTTTTGGGCACGCCATGTCCAAAAGTTCAATACCTTAGTTAGAAGTGGAAGGACCAGGGATACGTAAGAATTGGATAAAATGATCATCCTTCTCGTAAAACTCGGCAATAAACTTAAAATAATCGTAGGAGCACAAATGACAACCAATCTCCACCACGGCCATTGTGAGACTGGTCAATGAAGTTAAAATTGTACCCAGGATGCTTTCTTTGAAAAAAAAATCTGGATGACGTTAGTCAATATTGCGCATGCGTGATGCGCCGATAACATCTCACAGACGAAGACTGAAAACTACGTAAAATAAATTAAATTCAATTGTGTCACTATTATCCATTTCCGCTTGGTATATATGGGGTTCAAAATGCTCAGAATAGGGGGATTTAAATGTTTCAGTAGTTTATAACTTTTGGGCACACCATGTTCTCAAGCAAAATAATACTTTATTTTGATATTTGGTACTAATGAAAGCAACTTTGTTGAAATGTCACGGTGTAATTTCATGTTTTTAGTGGACATGAGAGTATGCCCAGACTGAGAGGGTCAATTGTAAAAAAACGGACAACATTCAGTGACTTGGCAGATTTTTTGGAGGAGTATTTACGCTAAGTAATTCAACTTTACAACATTACCTCCAAAATAATGACTATCCCAAAAATATTGAAAGGTAATGTAACCTATATCTAAAGTCCAAATAGCAAAATATTAATAACTTTTTATAGAAACTGGCAGGGACGCAATTTCCCACATCTTTCATTCCCTGCCCACTGCAGGTGATTTATGATCATAAATAGAGAAAACTAAAAAAAAAAAAAATAATAATTATAAAAAA